TGCTGAGACCCGTGTCATCGTTCCTTTCTTTTCTTTTGGGCCTGCGTCGATATGGGCTTCAATTTGCGACCGGCCCATTAGGATGCTGGCCCGTGTCATCGTTCCTTTCTTCTCTTTTGGGCCTTCATCGAGATGGGCTTCAACTTGCGACCAGCCCATTAGGATGCTGAGGACCGTGTCATCGTTCCTTTCTTTTCTTTTGGGCCTGCGTCGTGATGGGCTTCATTTGCGACCGGCCCATATGATGCTGAGGCCCGTGTCATCGTTCCTTTCTTTTCTTTTGGGCCTGTATCGAGATGGGCTTCAATTCGTGACCGGCCCATTAGGATACTGAGGCCCGTGTCATCGTTCCTTTCTTTTATTTTGGGCCTTCGTCGAGATGGGCTTCAATTTGCGACCGACCCATTAGGATGCTGAGGCCCGTGTCATCGTTCCTTTCTTTTATTTTGGGCCTTCATCGAGATGGGCTTGAATTTGCGACCGGCCCATTAGGATGCTGAGGCCCATGTCATCGTTCTTTTCTTTGCCGAAAGCGCAAGAAACCGGCAACATCCACCTCCCTTTCAGGACATCGATTGATACAAGGAAATCTCATTTCCGTTTGCTCATCTTTGTTCAAATCTCGATCGTTGAGTGAAACAACTTCGAATTTCTAAGGGTTTTTCCAATGGCGACTATGGAGGTCGAGACCCAGCTAGCGACGTCGGCATCGGTCGGTACTTGCTCGGTGAAACAGGCGACGAACCAAGGCGAGGGTCTGAGGCAGTACTATCTTCAACATATTCACGAGCTCCAGCTCCAGGTTCGTCAAAAGACCCATAATCTGAATCGTCTTGAAGCTCAACGGAACGAGCTGAATTCGAAAGGTACCAATCAATTTTGAATTTTGAATTTTTTTTTGGGCAGCTTTGGTTTCACTTTCCTTGTGATGGGGTTTAAAGCGTAGGAGTTGGTCAGTCCAAAAATGTTATACTTTTTGTTTGCTCCGCTGATGAATGGTTATATAATTAAGTAGCGATAAGAGTTGAAGCCTGAGTCATTTGTTGTGAGAAAAGTGAATTGGGGAAAAATAAAATACTTGAATACTTCAAAGGAAGATACAAGAACAATTAATTAGTTCTCTTTCATTCTTATAATTTTTATGGCTGTCCTTCAACATTATTCTGTTGGATTTATGATTTATTTGAGGCTATTGCATTTATATCTCATATTTACAGTGCGCATGCTCCGGGAAGAGCTGCAGCTGCTTCAAGAGCCAGGATCCTATGTTGGTGAAGTTGTTAAAGTCATGGGAAAGAACAAAGTTTTAGTTAAGGTTGGTGGCTTTGTCTTTTTTCTTCTTCTTTATTTCAGAAAAAAATAATAAATAAATTACAAATTTATTACCAATTAACCATTCACCTTCCCTTGGCATTCCTCGTAAGGGTGTGGAAACCTCTCCTTAGAAGATATGTTTTAAATTTGTGAGGTTGACAACGATACCTAACGGCCCAAAGCGGACAATATCTGCTAGCGGTGGGTTTGATTGGTAATAGTCATAGAGTCCATATTGGTGGGTTTGAGTGGTTATAGTCATAGAGTCCATATTATTGAAATAGTGAGACTTTACTCTTACATATGCCAGGCAATAGAACTTGGCTGTTGTGCTTCAAATTATAAGCGTTATCATCTTCTTATTTTTCATAATTCATATTTGTATATCTTTGGTGATATGATCTTAGAAGTTTAGTTTCAAAACGTTCAATCTCAACTAGCTAGCTAATTGGAAAGTTTTTTTTTTTCCAACTTCTCTTTGCTCACCTGCACAGGTTCACCCAGAAGGGAAATATGTTGTTGATATAGACAAAAGTATCGATATCACGAATATCACACCTTCAACCAGAGTTGCTCTCCGTAACGACAGCTATGTTCTTCATTTAATCTTGCCAAGCAAAGTAGATCCACTCGTTAATCTTATGAAAGTTGAAAAGGTTCCTGATTCTACTTATGACATGATCGGTGGTCTCGACCAGCAAATAAAAGAAATAAAAGAGGTTTGTACGTTGCAAATATTTTTCTTATTTATGTCAACTACTTATTAGTCAATTATCTGTAAATTCTGAAATGGTAATTCCAATCTGAAGGTTATTGAACTCCCCATTAAGCATCCTGAACTATTTGAGAGTCTTGGAATAGCTCAACCAAAGGTAAACACTGCCTGCAGAGTTTCTTGACATGTTTCATGTTGAACTTATTAAACATAGATATTTCACCATGCACTTCTAATAGGGCGTTCTGTTATATGGACCACCTGGTACGGGGAAGACGCTGTTGGCTAGAGCAGTGGCTCACCATACAGATTGTACTTTCATCAGGGTTTCTGGGTCTGAATTGGTTCAGAAATATATTGGAGAAGGTTCTAGAATGGTTAGAGAGCTTTTCGTCATGGCCAGGTTTGTTCTGTCATTTTCTTCCGTGTTTCAATGTAAATTTGCTCACTCGGTGTTGTTGACCCTAACCTCCCTGCTTTATGTATGTATGGGATTTTTTCCTTGACTGCCACTAATATTTAGAATCCAAATTAGGAACGGACCTTCTGGTGCCAAAATTTTATTTAGTGGAAATAGGTAGTCTAGGATTTCATTTTCCACCCATGAAAACATTCAACCAAACAGCCCAGGAAAGTAATGGCAGAAACCAAAATGGAAGAGAATATATCTTTAGATGTAATCTTACTATTATTGTTCCAACTGCAACAAATTTTTTATTTTCCTCTGCAGGGAGCATGCACCTTCTATCATTTTCATGGATGAAATCGATAGCATTGGGTCTGCTCGAATGGAATCTGGGAGTGGTAATGGTGATAGCGAGGTGCAGCGTACTATGTTGGAACTTCTTAACCAGCTTGATGGATTTGAAGCATCAAATAAGATCAAGGTACAGTGCATGTAATGATGGAAAATATAACACTTGAATGCAGATATGGGAGTAAGATTATTATTGATTCTTAAACCATATACTGATTATTGAATACAAAAAACCAAGCGTTTAAGCCAGATATTGGTTTTTTGTTTAAAGTTGGTTTCTATCCGCTCGGCTGTATTACAGGTCTTGATGGCCACCAATAGGATCGATATCCTGGATCAAGCTCTTCTAAGGCCAGGACGAATTGACAGGAAGATTGAATTCCCAAATCCTAACGAGGATGTAAGTACCACTACTTGTTTCGGTATATACTCTTGTTATTTAAAGATTACTATAGCGACTCAATGAATTTTACTTCATTTAACGTTGTGACTCTTTCTGAGGCACTCTTGGTCCGAAAGGAATTGTAAGTTTGCCCGTAACGGAGAGATAAAAGCTACTCATCTTCTTGGTTTGTTTGTGCTTAAATATACTCTTTCTGAGGCACTCTACATGCCTTTCGGATTGAAGAGTCGTGTCAATCATAGTCGCTCTTGCTATATCAATATACTGACATTTAGTTCATACGTAATGCAGTCCCGGTTTGATATCTTGAAAATACATTCACGGAAAATGAATCTGATGCGTGGGATTGATTTGAAGAAAATTGCAGAGAAAATGAATGGTGCATCTGGTGCAGAGCTCAAGGTATATTAATCTTTTGATGATAATATAGTTGAAAACAATCTTGAGTGTTTGTGCATATCATTTTTCTCATCAATTACATTTTGGTGGCACATTTTGTGATCGAACACAGGCGGTCTGCACAGAAGCAGGGATGTTTGCGTTGAGGGAAAGAAGGGTTCACGTGACTCAGGAAGATTTCGAGATGGCTGTTGCCAAGGTGATGAAGAAGGAGTCCGAGAAGAACATGTCGTTGCGAAAGCTCTGGAAGTAGAATCGTCGTATGAAGCAGCCAAGGCATGGCGAATAACAATATTACTTACCCTTTTGTTCTGAAATTCTTCACCTCACCTGAGCTGTTCTTGGAGATTTCTTGAACTTGGTATCTATCTACCTCGAATGATGTATTCTAGTCGTCAACTCTTTTATCTTTACGTCGATCTTGTAACTTAAAAGCCTCCCTTGCAACATTTCTTTTACCCTATCTCCAAATGTATTGACAAGTTGAGAGTGTAGCTGCTAAGAAATTATCAGTTGGCTGATAATCTGGAAGTTCGTTCTGCATTTACTTGATATCAATCTGGAAGTTCTTGTAGGATTCTCAGTGATAATTTCTTTCTCAAAATCAATTGAATAGTTAATTTCTTATAAGAACCCGCTAAATACGAATGGGATGGAGAGGGGTATGGGGCACGGATGTGTTGAATGTATGAAGAACAATTGCTAAAATACTTTGAATTTGTATATGATGAGATTCATCGGTGAAAAACTGTCGGTAGTAATGTCTAACACATCAAATCAAATCATGAATCTTGTGGGTTCATCTGAAATTCATCCCTTGAGCCCAAAACAGACGAGCCCATTCCCCGACAGATTTACGGATGAGGCGAGGCCCCAAATGGAAAGACGAGGAAAATGGGGAAGTATGAAGATCATTATTATGGTCATTATGAATCACCATCATCCGCGCGGGGAATCGTTAAAGGAGACATCCCATCTGCTTTGCACTTGCAGGCCCTTCTTCAACATTTTTATTGTACTTTGCATTAATATCGATCAGCATCTGCAGAAAAATCGAGTCCGAATCTTTCCTCGACTTCAGGTACTCAACACGGAGCTCTCTCTAATGTCTTTGTTTCTGTTTATTCCAATTACTTTGACCCGTTTTCCCATGTTAATTCGAATGCTCTGAAGCCCCAACCTGTAATTTCCTCGATGATTGACTTCGAGATATCTAATTCTTATTCTGGGTATTGGTTTTCGATCTCTGTGAATTTGTGATTCAGTTTCTTCTGGGGCTGGGCAAGAAGATAACCAATGTTAGGGGAAGTACAATTGGAGTCATCAATTGGCCAAACCCCTAGTGACTCTGATCCTCTGCTAGAGAATCAGCCCGATTCATCCCATGAAACCTCTGATGAAATTAAGAACGAGGATACTGAAGCTGGTTCCATTCCTTGTTGTCGTATTTGCCTAGAGAACGATGCCGAACCAGGTGAATTTCGTCGTAGTTTCGTATAAGTTATTGCTCAGTTTTAAATTTCTCCATAGGTGTAGTGTAGACGTTGGCTCAATTCTGTTGAATTTTAGCTTCATTGAATCTTGGCGGGTGATTCCTTTGTTTAGTCCACTGGATTATAACTCAACTTCTATCGTTGTTACAAGAATTGAAGATCCATTTCAAATTATTTTGAATCCTTGTTTTTGCTGGAAAGTTAATCTTGTTTGGTCTTTAATGGCTGTACAATCATGTAAGTTCTGTTTTCATAGCTGCTGGGGTAATACCTTCTACCACTTGGCTCAAATGCAATTTTCCATTTTACAGAAGATGAACTGATTTCTCCATGCATGTGCAAAGGCACACAGCAGTTTGTCCATCGATCTTGTCTTGATCATTGGCGCTCCGTTAAGGCAAATTTCTTTATTTGAGTTCTTCTATGCTGTTCCTGCTTTCGGCTATGAAGGATTTGATCGTTTCCTATTCTATTTTTCTTATGATCTTAATCACTCTGAAAGGATTCATGTAATTCTGCAGGAAGGGTTTGCTTTCTCGCATTGCACAACATGCAAAGCTCAATTTCACCTGCAAGTTTCCTTATTTGAGGACAACTCTTGGCGTAAAGTTAAATTCAGGCTTTTTGTGGCAAGAGATGTCCTCCTCGTATTTCTAGCTGTACAAACTGTGAGTCGTCGTCATAGAATTATTATTGAATATGCCTGTAAAAAATCCAACCTTTTATCAAGAATTTCATTACTATTCTCTTTTTATGAGTAGCAAGGGTTGCGTTTGTAATTAGTATCAAGCTGCTATGTGGTTATTCAGCTTTTAGTTTTCCATAGAACTCAAGGACACATTTGTACGACCTATAGAATAGAACGATATAGAATGTGTCATGTGTACTCGTTATTCAACTTTTAATTTTTCAGGCTTGCAAGAAACTTTTGACTTCCATATTTTTTTTAGATGGATTTTTTTTCACAAGGTGATCTCACTCTTAAGGATTTGTAATAATTTGTTTCATTTAAGCATGTCTTGTTCACTTGATGTCGATCAATCCAAAAGAAAAGTAAAGAACAAATGTTTGAACATAAACTTTTGTGGAAGATTTGGTGTCTGGTTAGATAATGGAGAATTTATCTTTTTTTTTTTTGCAGTTAATAGCGGCAATGGGTGGTTATGCATATATTATGGACAAAGACGGGGCATTCAGGAATTCTTTCAATGATGGATGGGACCGTATTCTGTCCAAACATCCTATTCCGTTTTATTACTGTATCGGTAAGCTACTTTTGGTTTAAACTAGTCAGCTGTTTCTTTAAGAACTGGATCTGAGATGTGTCGGATTATCACATGGATAAATTCAGACTTCCCTGTGTACTGTTGTTCGTCCATGCTTAAGATAAAGTAGCAGAGATTCAGCATCCATTTCAATTGGATAATGTTTCCTTCTTTTATATGAATCAATGTCAATGTGAGGAATGGCCGTTTTTGTGAACATTTGTGTTTTGTGTTATTTTGTGAGGTTCGATGGCGAGAGAAATAATAGAATCTTCAGAACGTTTGAGTTCATCCGATGATGTTCTGGCTCTTGTTAGATTCTCTATATCGAGATCTTTTTGAAATTTTTCGTTAGGTCTCATTTTACTCCAATGGAACCCCTTCCTGTAGTTTGCTCCCTTTTTCTGGCCTTCTTCATTTGGTTTGTCCGTGTTTTCCTTCATTCTTCTGAATAGAAGTTAAGTTTATCATAAAAAGAAAAAAGAAAAAATGTCATTGTTTGCCCATTTCTTTCGACAAATTTAATGGTTCGAGATCAAATACGCATAATCAATGACTTGTTTCATGGTTTTGATTTACTAATGTCTTTCTACGTGCTTATTTTTCATAATATCAGGGGTCCTGGCCTTCTTTGTTCTGCTCGGATTCTTCGGCCTCATACTACATTGTTCCTCCCTGAATAGTAATGATCCACGAGTTGCTGGATGTCACAACTGTTGCTATGGATGGGGCATCTTGGATTGTTTCCCTGCGTCTATGGAGGCCTGCTTTGCACTTGTTATTGTCTTCGTTGTTATCTTTGTAATCCTTGGCATAGCTTATGGTTTCCTTGCTGCCACTATGGGTATTCAAAGAATCTGGCAAAGGCATTACCACATTCTCACCAAAAGGGAGCTGACTAAAGTAAGGTTCCACCGTTTTTTGTTAGTGGATTTAATACCTCCTGTTGCTGGTTTTTATACTTCACTTCCTTGTAGGAATACGTGGTGGAGGATCTTCATGGTTGTTATACTCCTCCAAAATTGGAACCAGAACACGAACAGCACTTGAAAATGCTACAGCTTCTGTAATGAATGGCAGATGAGGTTGTTCAGTTTCTGTCATTTTGTTTATTATGTTCTTTTGTTTGAGATGATACAATGTGCATCTGCTTGACACCGTTGTTATGAATGAGCAATGTGGAAAATAGATTTTAACTCATTTGTCACTGTCCCCTTCTTGCATTCTGAGCATCTGTTTCAGTTTTTAAGCTTACAATAGGTTCTGTACTTAGATTTCGTGTTCATAATTTGGTTAAAATCATTGAAAATTCGTCAAATCTGAAGTCGATGTCGCGTGTGACATTATTCATATAGATTCGTTGTTCTTTCAAAGATAGTTATTCTTAAAATACTTTCTTGGGGAAATGTAATGTCTGTTCATGATTGATATAAGAATGCTGCTATTGCCTGTTAGGTAAATTTAATTAACATGAGTATTTGTGAAGTTTGAAGACAGGATTTTTTAATGTTCTTTTAAAATTAAAATTCGGGTCAATTGTTGGACTGGAAACCACTCGTTGATCGATGTTGCTCGTACTAGCTTAATATTTGTTTGGAATGACATAAATGATCGATGTTGCTCGTACTAACTTAATATTTGTTTGGAATGACATGAACACAGAACTAATTATTTTCAAGAACTTGGCCCTTCAACAAAGTTGTTCATCAACAACTTTAGGAGGAGAAAATGTACACTCCAACTCAGCCAAAATAATGGATTTTCAAGTACAATTCTAAAAGGATCAGTTTGTGTTTATTTAGATTGATGTACAAAAATGAAAGCTTTCGGTGACACGAAGCACTTGCCAAAGGAGAGGGGAACCGAGTACCGAAAACATCGGTTTAGGTAAATATCTAATGCGCTCCCGTCATCTTGACTATTATCCAAAATAAAGTAAGAAAGTCCTTTTCTTGACTTATCCTAAATAAAGTAAGGAAGTCCTTTTCTTGACTTATCCTTGTACCAACTCAACCTTTGTAAAGAACTTGATTTTCAATCTCAATAAAAAGAAAGGAAAGCAACACCCTTTGCTTGTTGTCCTCCTCTTACTCTTTCTCTTTGCTTGTTGTCCTCTTACTCTTTAAGTATGCCTTGTGGAGGTCTCTAAGGTGTCTACGGCAGATCCGATCAGTCTCATGATCCATGATGAAGATCCGTCATTACAATTCTCCACCACTAGTTTTGGTGTCAAAATGATAGGATGCATTCAAATTTGCCACTATATACATGTTTTGCACTTTGCAAACCTTCCCTATCTAATCCAGTAGTGTTTCTCTTTCGTTTACAATTGGCTTTCAGTGATCCAAAACGAAACAGAAAACGTAACAAAAAGGAAGAAATTATATGGTTCCTCCATTGCTGACAAAAATAAGCTGATCGCCGTCCCTAATGACCTCTATATCTTCAATGGCAGCTCCATCTTTGTTCAATACCTTTGAAGCCATAATCCCATATTTCATGGAACCAATCTCAAGCAGCTCGTTGAAGCTTTCTGGAAGCAGCACTACCTTCCCAGCTACTTCGCCAATCTCTGGACAGCTGATTATCACCCTTGCTGGGTTGGTTCCAGATTTCTCTCCTCTGGTTTGGTGATCAGCAAAACTCATGTCTTTCTCGCCTGTATGTGCTGCTGACATGATTCCAAACAATGAGTTATGGAAGTTGTTAGTCCTACGTCGTGGACGAGATTGACCCGCCCATGAACCATCATTTCCTTCCTGAGGTGAAGGAAGAATCATAGGCTCGCTTGTAAATCTTCCAAGGAAGCGAATCGCTTTCTGCTTCTCGGGAATGGCAACGACAGATTGAGTTTTCAATTCTTTTATTGTCTGGAAGAGGTTTTTAATTTCTTCATGTCCCTGTTGGTCTGCTAGATCTCTTGGAGTCCATCCATGGACATCTGGTTTGTCAATATCAGCTCCTTGTTTAAGAAGGAACTTGACAATCTCAATGTTGTCTTCACAAACAGCAACATGTAAAGCAGTCGTTCCATTGTTCCTGGAACTCAAAACGTCTCCGCCATATCGGAGAATCTCTTTGAGCAACTGGAGGTTGTTTTGCTCTGCGGCAGTACACGCGAAGTGACCCACATCTCCTGATCGGAGATTAGCACCATTGTCTATAAGTAGCTGCACTACTGCCTCATGGCCACCTAGTATCGCCTCCCATAATGGCACAATCCCGTCTGAATCTGTAAAAAGCGAGAACACGGAAATAATCATCTTTCCACTCTGTTTGGATACATTAAATCAAATTATGCAACAGAATTCTTTAACATGGATCCCCATCTCAAATTCCATCCCCTCAATTTCGTCTGAAAACGAATTCTTTCAATAATTCCACGTGTTTGTTAGTTCATGTCTCTACATACCCAATATTATTATATTAATATGTCCCTTAGGATAGAAGTAATCCTAGAGAGAGAGATCCACAGAAGATGTATAAATATAAAGAATACAAATCTCAGAACATTATTGTGAAATATTAAGTCGACAGACATGAACCACGTGATAAGGCATATATTGTTTGCAATGGCCTTATATATATGATATGTTTATCAAGCTATGATAAGAAATGAGATGCCAGCGTGGACTCTACAGTATTAAGAACAACTATAATGGGAAATGAGACGAGTTGGCCTCGATTTATTATGGGCTCTAAATGAGTCTTAACACAGAAAGGTTTTGGATAAGAATATTAAAAGGTCAACTTCGGAAAACACAGCTTATTTCAGTACGTACTCATTGTTCAATTATATTTTTAAAAAATGGAGATAGTTGACTTGAAATACAATAATGGGGGGAAAATATTGCCCATAATGTGTCAGCAAATACTTTTAAGGGGTGAGAAAGTCAACGCAGTGCCAAAAAATTTCCTTCCATGAATTTTTTTTTTGTAATCTGACTTTTAAACAATAAATAACAAGTATGATATGTATGGCACGCACATGGCTTTAAAGAAAATTCTCTCTCAAGTTGTTTTTATAATTCATTAATTGTTCCTCAGCCCCTCATGAAGAACCACGACAGAGTCTGCTAATATCAGTAAAACAGGCTCTCATGGTAAAGAAGTACCTCTACTGTTGGGATCCGCTCCAAAGTCCAGTAATAGAAGCACACAGTTCTCGTTTCCTTTTGATGCTGCTATATGCTGGTATTACATAAATGGGGAACCAAGAAAGGGGAAAGGGTTGAGAATATGCAAAAACCAGTAAATCTTTTTGCATGATCTGTTGATAAAGAAATTAATGAGCAACAGAAAATTGAACTCACAAGTGAAGTCCTCCCGTTGTTATCTGATTCATTTGGATCGAGACCTCTTTTCAAAAGTTGGTGTAAAAGCAAGTCGTCACCTCTAAGTGTTGCAAAGCAAAGACTAAGTGGTAGGTCCAATCTGCCTCTAGCTAGCATGTTCTCTGTCTCCAACAAAACTCCTTCCATGATGGGGTCCTTGTCTTTGACGTCTTTCAAGTGCTGCCAACCCGAAAATAAGATATCATTGTAGATAATTTACAAGTCAAACATCTAATTAGTACAGATTCGGATACGGATATGAGACCCAGATACAACACAGCAACATATCATTTTTTTTTTTAAATCTAGGACACAGTCACGGCTACGTTTATTAAAATTTACGCTTTTAAGAATATATATTATTTCTATACAAGAAGGAAAGTTAGAATCAATGAGTTTATGCATTTATATGATTAAAAAATAGATAAAAATGTATTCTGCTCTCAAATTTACGCTTTTTGGACCTATTTTGACTTCGCACAACTAGTGTCTAATACATCTATGGCTTTAACAAGTGTCTGAAACGTGTCCAATGAGTGTCATGAGTGTCAAAGTGTCTGCCACGAACACACTAGCCAATCTTAAGTATTTGAGCTTCTTGGTTAAACATGGCCTTGTAAATGACTCAAATATGGACATATTGTTCCATTTCTTTTTACCTTTCATGAGACCATTAAAATCCGTGTGTAACTCTAGTTAACCCACATAACATAAATGAAAAAAGAAAGCAGACCTGAAGAAGATTGTTCATGATTATAGTCCCATCACCAACATTAGATTGAACAATATTCAGGAAAGCCGTTCGATTCAGACGCAGCAACTGACTCAATCGTTTTGTACGGACAGTAAACAGTTGTGGCCTGTAACATAACACCCCAATTTCTCCGCAAAGTTCACCAGTTTTAGCCTCTCCAACAACCTGCAAACATTGGAACAGTTTAGTAAGTAAATCAATTGTCTTGGACTGCCACATGGGTAATTCAAAAACCCAACATTCAGAAAATCCAAGAGCTTCAATGAACAGACTTGCCTGTTCAACTCCATTCTTAAGAACAAGCAAATCCTGTGAAAAAAAGTGTCAAACGTTAGACTTTGATTGTGCTGAACTTGGTGGTTAATTTAGTGAATACTCCTGTCAGTAACTTAAAAGCTTTTATAATCAAATAACTAAGTAATTACCACAGCACCCGTGACAAGAATATAGAAGTCTGTTGGGGCTTCATTTTGTAAAATCACGTCTTCTTTTGGAGGAAAATACTCTGCCTTCATTTCCGAAACCTTTAACGTTTCAGCAAATCAATCAGTTTCAGTAAGAAACATGCTAGTTACCTCAGTAAAATCAATAATCTCAGCATAAAAGGAATAATCATTTAGGTTAAAAGCTTGAGGACATCAATTACCAGTTGAAAAATTAGGTCATTTGAAACACCACGAAACAAGTAGACCTTGTCCACTAGAGAATAGAAAAGATAATGTGAAATGCTTGATCGGATGGCTTTCGGCAAGGAATCGAGTGTTTCTTGCTGCTGCAATCCCTCAGAGTCAGTTCTGAACTTTAGACACAAATGTGCAAGCATTTGGTCTTGCAAACGAACAGGAAGTTGATTCCTGTGGGCAAAACTAGATGCAGCTTGTATGGTATCCCTCTGAGGAAAAAGGGTAAAAAAGGTATTGAAAAGAAAAGAAAAATTAGTATAATATACTCTAAAAGAGTAAGAAATTAAGCCAAAAAAACAAAACAAATTATCTAGATCTTTAAGGTATTAAGTGCCATTTGTAACTAGCAAGACTTTTCTACTTACGAATTTTCTAGTTCTACTGGTCCCATGGACGACTAAGTTGGTCATATTTCCAATCAAGTATGCTGTCAAACCAAGATTGAAAAGCATGTAGAAGATGTCAAAAACCATTTCCCTTGTATTCACAGGATGCAAGTCGCCATAGCCGACAGTGGTTAGGGTAGTGATAGACCAGTAAATCGAAGTGACATATCTAATCCACAAACTTTGCTCAAGAAAGTTCTCCATAGATGCTCCAATCCATGTCCTTTTTGGGTCATGATAACGAGCAGCAAGGAGATAATAGAAGCATGCAGCACAGTGAACCGCAAACAGAGTAACCTGCAAAATACATAGACTACAGATAAGTGAACGATCCTATTAGCATATTGAAAACACAATCCTATTAGCATATTGAAAACACAATCCTATTCGAATAAGTAAACTTACACAAACGAGTTTTGCACATCGAACCCAAAAGTAATTATAGTTCCTATCTTTTTCCAGTCTGTTCAGAAGAAAGAAAACAAACAATACCATGAGGTTGAAGTTGAACAGATGTTTGTTTCTGCTAATACAGGTAAAAGGAAAAGGCTTAGTACCTGGAAAAAAGAGCACTGACTCTTCGAAGACGCCATAGACGAAGCATGTTGAATAATCCATAAGAACGGAGAGGTGAAGGGGAGATCTTATGTGCAAGTTCAGAAGGAATTGTGGATATGACATCAAAGACTAGCCATGAACTTGCATACTTAAGAGCAATCTTCTTCGGTTCGTCGACAAGTAAATAAGTGGATTTATCGAGGTAAGCCACAAAGAATGTGAGAACAATATCCACAGCAAAAAATCCATTAACCACATTATCTGTAATGGAAAGTGGAGATTGGGGTTTCTTAAGGAATCCAAACTCGAATGGCGAGACCCAAGCTGTATATACCACCAAAACAACGAGAAAAGTCTCCCAAATCCTGTAGATAACAAAAGCTTAGCCACTTTTTGCAGAAAAATGAGAAAGATATGCATCACCCTGAGAAAAAAAGCATAAATATTGGCTTAATCAGTTCTTATTTTGCTAAAACATCCATCTCCTCGAATCCATGTGCCAAACAAATATATATAATTCTGTCCGGTGTTCGTGAAACAAAGTGATAACGGAAGTGTTCATAAGAGAAAAAAATTAAGCGAACCATCTGACGTTTTAGATGAACCTTGAATAGGAAGAAACTCACAAGCAAGGGAACCCAAAAAACTTGAAAAACAGATGGAACCAATAAGAATCTGAGCATTCGGATACATAAATAGATTAAGAACATAAAGAAGGCCACCAGTATAGTTCACCAGATCCAAGGCGACCTTATATTTCCAATTTTCAAACGCAATTGAAAAAGTCGTGTGAAATTCAGAATGGAAGTCAAAGCAAGCGATAAAAGTCATTTCCAAAAACTCTCAAGAAAATCAAGTCACCTGTATCGATGATCATAAGGCGAAATGACAAAACGCCGGAGTTTGACTCTGCGATTGCTTCTAGCGCCAAGAGAGGGCAATATCCCAGTGCTGAGGCTAAACTGACTGCCATCTCTGGAGAGTTGCTCAAGCTCTTCTTGACCACAAACAGAAACCCTGAAAGGCCCTCTGTTTCTGACGGCATCCATTGTTGACACTGCACAACAAACACAAAAACAAAAACAAAAAAGGAGAATAAAAATCTCTGCAGTACCCTGTTTGTGGGTATAATTTCTTCTTCCTTTTTTCTTCTTCAAGTGGCCATGTTCCTTAAATCCTCCCGTCCCAGTTCGCCTTGGCTCTTTCTCTCTGCACTGCAAGCTCTTCGAAGCCGCAGATCCTTTGGCTGTATTATATAGGATAGCCCTGTCTCGCCGCGCGTAAGCCTTTTTGGGTTCTTTTTGTCTGGTTTTAGGGTGTGGGGCATTCCATTTTCTTTTTTTTTTTTCTTTTTTTCTTTTTTTTTTGAAATAACCTCCTTTTGTAATATATTTTTATGAATTAAAATTCTACTTTCTTTGGTCATAAATGAAACAATATATTTTAAATATTTTGATGCTTTATATTTGGAAATTAATAGTTTTTTACCTTTTAAATTTGGTTGCGTATGTTGATTTTTATCCTTATACCTCTGTTTTCATAATTGCATCTTAGACTAAAATGTAAAAAGCAACTTTTTTATCTTTAAATAAAATTCTATTTAAAAAATATTTTATTTATAGATATTTTCGTCAACATAAAGTTATAAACCATCTATCGTATCTAATGAAATTATTTTAAATCATCTGTTTAAAGATAGTTACGAGATCAATTAACATTTTAGAATGAATAAAAAAAATTAAATTATGAAAAATATTTTTATAATTTAAAAGATATTGTTTTAAGATAAATAATTTATATTTTAAGAGTCTAAAGAAGAAAGATTTGTACACAGAAATATAAGTAACAGTGGTTTAAATAGATTTCCAAACAAATGCTTACTTTCTATTTTTGTAAATAAAATATAACACAATAAACACTTAGATATAATTCTTAAAAAATCAATTAATATATGGAAAAAAAATAAAGGAAATGAAAGGAAATAAATCTTGAACATTTAAAAATGTTTATTATAATTTTAAAAATGTTTATATATTATTTAGGATTGGCCGATTTTCTTTTAAAAAATAAAAATAAAAGTCCGGAAATGCCCTTCAGGAAAGGGAAACCACCGCCATGCCACGCTGGCAGAGGCAAACCCCGTAATTCCAATCTAAACTCCGCAAAACCGTGATGCACGAAAACGGGAAAAGGTCAAAATCAACTACCTGGTTAACTGCCACCGCGCGTGCATGTCAACTGACTTTCACGCTCACTCTAAAATATTAGTTTTTTTTTTTTTTTTTTAATCTCAAAAGTCCAATATTTTTTATAAATTTCAACTTTGTGTTTTTTTTTT